TAACTGATGACGAGGAACTGACAGAGCAGCCATCAAGTGTTAGACAGTGTTCTAGATTATCACATGCAGAGGATTTTGGTCCAATAATAACACCTCTGTTTTTTTCAGAATTTAGCAGTAGGAAATTACTAGTCATCCAGTTTTTTATATCAGCTATGCATTCCGTTAGTTTTGCGAATTGGTATGTTTCGTCGGGCCACAAAGAAATATAGAGCTGAGTAATCATCAGCATAACAGTGAAAGCTAACACCGTGTTTCCTGATGATATCTTCCAAGGGTAACATGTAAAACGTGAAAAGCAACAGTCCTAGAACTGAGCTTTGTGGTACTCCATACTGGACTTGTGAACGTTATGATACTTCTTCATTCAGTGCTATAAATTGATGGCGGTCAGATAAGTATGATTTGAACCATGCCAATGCAATTTCACTAATGCCAACATAATTTTCTAGTCTATTTAAAAGAATGTTGTGGTTGATAGTGTCGAACACAGTGCTAAGATCCAGTAGCACTAATAGAGAGATACTACCATGAACGGATGTTAAGAGCAGGTCATTTGTAACTCTGATGAGATCAGTCTCAGTACTATGAAACAGTTTAAAACCTAATTGGAAATCCTCACAGGTACCATTTTTCTCCTTGAAAGAACATAGTTGTGAGGAGACTACCTTTTCTAGTATCTTTGACAGAAAAGGGAAATTTGAGATCGGTCTGTAATTAACTAATTCTCCAGGATTAAGTAGTGTTTTTTTTTGAGTGGAATTGTTCCTCAGGGGATCTATAGTGCACTATCTGATGCAATACTGTAGCTGACGGCTGCATGGTTAGAATTTTAATAGTATCGATCTTGGAAGAAAAGAAGTTCATAAAGTCATTACTGCTGTGCTGTTGGGAAATGTCTGTGCCTGCTGATGCTTTATTTTTGGTTAATTTAGCCACTGTATTGAAAAATACTTGGGGTTGTTTGTTTTCTTCTAAGAGAAACGAAAAATAAGCAGATCTAGCAGTTTTTTAAGGCTTTTCTGTATGTGGAAGTACTTTCCCTCCATGCAATACGAAATAACTCTAGTTTTGTTTTCTTCCAGCTGTGATCCATTCTCCGGGCTGCTCTCTTTAGGGCGCGAGTGTACTTGTTATATCACGGTGTCGGACTGTTTTCCTTAATCTTCTTTAAGTGTAAAGGAGCAACCGTATCTAAAGTGCTAAAAAAAAAAGAGAGAGAGTCAATAGTTTCTGTTACACCAAGTTTTCTGAGCTATTGGATATGCTGAGAAATTGAGACAAGTCAGAATGATTATTTACAAAGCAGTCTTTTTTATAACAATATTTGTAACAAGGAGTTGAATTTGCAGCCTTAGCTATATGGAGTATACACAAGAATAGATTATGATCCGAGATATCATCACTCAGCTGCAGAATTTCAATGCCATTAACATCAATTCCATGTGATAGTATTAAATCTAAAGTATGATTATGATAATGAGTAGGTCCTGACACATGCAACACTATCTAGAGTGCTGGAGAAGACTGTATTCATAGTTTCTATCCTAACACAAAGTTCATTAGAACTTTTGGACACACAGACCACTTGCGAAAGATCTGGAAGAATCTTTTGTCTTTAGTGATTGAAATAATAGTTCTTGTCTGGTATCAGTCCAGTATTGCTGTGCAGGCTGAGTGACCTTGGCTAAACACAGCATATAAGAGCTGTATACATGAGAATCAATGCAGTTTGCTGTCACTGATGACCAACCCGGTGCAACCAGATTATTAATATTAATATTATATTTCTTTAAGTTTCAGGTGATTCAGGAGCTTACTTCAATGCATTACCACAGTCTATGTGGGTGGTGTGGTGTAGTGATTAAGGCTCAGGGCTGGTAAGGTTGCTAGATCTAGATACAGGTAGAGATAGAGACACAAGACACAAGACACTTGCAAGACACTCAAGCCCAAGTTACTTGGGGTAACTTATGGCGCTTTTCCACTGCGTGGTACGACTCGGCTCGGCACGGTTCGGCTCGGCACGGTTTACGTTTCCACTGCAGTTCAGTACCGCTTTAGAGTGGGCGGGATTATTCACATGTCGTTATAGTTGCGCCGCCTCTACTACCACGACTCCTAAAAAAAACTTTTCATTCCGCATCTCCCTATCAAGCTCTCGCTGGATCCGCTCCTCTGCTATCAACGAGAGGAACGTCTGTTCTTCCGCAACAGACAACAAAACTTTTTGGTTGTTAAAAAAAGGTGCGCTCGTTCTAAACAGTTGCGTTCGATACTTTGCTGGCTGTGCTGATTTAAATCTAGCGGTTCTGTTGTGTTTGTGTCGCAAGTTCAGTGACGCAGGTAGTGACGATTCTCTCCGGCCAATCCGTGATCAGCAGAGTTTACACGTCACGTTTTGGTAACGGTACGGTTCGCTTGGAACCCCAACCGAGGTGGTACTAAAAAAAGTACCAGGTACCAGGTACTGTACCAGTGGAAACCCCCCAAAAAGTGAAGCGTACCGAGCCGTACCATGCAGTGGAAAAGCGCCATTAGATAGGAGGATTAGTAGAGGGAGGATGGTCCATGTAATAAATTGCTTGTGTTGCTCTCTGATGACCTTACATGAAAGTCATGGAAATGTGTTAAAAAGCAGACGTGGGGGCGTGTTAGAACGAGCCGTTTTAGGGGGGCGTGGCAGAGTCTTAACTTTGATAAAGAATATCTCTTTGGTTTTGAGACTTTAGTCTTTGCAACTTCAGGGATCTTATCTATGCACAATCAGCTTGTAACACTCCAAAGAGAAAGTTAAACTTGAAATCGCATCATATGACCCCTTTAAATGTGTAAACACTGTTACTCCAACAAACCTTTTTTTGTGAAATTACACCTTAGGCTTTAAGGTATTATTGCTTTATTTGCTATTACAGATATTTGCAGGAACTATTTGGTTTCATATATTTGTAGCCCATACTATTAAATTAAACAATAAATTACTTTTACCATTAATTCATTCATAATACAAGAATGTTTTCTGCTTACACAAAATATCATACTCAGTTTATGTTGTAAACAATTGTTTAAAAAATCTCGAACCATCAAATGCTTGAAAAATAAACCAGTGCATTTAAAAAACAAACCCAGCTTGAAAAACACAAAAATTTTACTGTTTTGATACTTTTTGAACAAACCGGTTTTAAGATTTGTTGATATAGTCTACATGTTACTAAACTGGTCTGGACTCGAACAAAAAGACAAACAAATGCTTTGACATTGTATTGTTGTCAAAAATCATTTTCACCATATTAATTTCTGTTTGTGATGCTGACCAGCAAAACAAAGCTGGTTTGACTAACATTGTCTTTCCACTGCAGCTAGTTGACTTTTTAGTGAAGCTAATGAAGCAGCCATTCATGAGTTTTCACTTGATTTAATGAAAATTATTTACTGGCTTCTCACGTCATTCCAAAAAGCTGGAACATGGCAAGTAGGTTGCAAGCTCTAAAATAGTTTCTTCTTAACTTTTTTTTTACCTCACATAACTAATGGTAAAAATTATGTTTCTACTAAAAAATGACACTTAATCATGAAATAACATAACATTCAAAAACTGTTTTCAAAATTATTAAGGAGCAATCAAATAAATACTGACACAAAGAAGTAGATAGATGGCATGCATAACACAAAGTGAAACACACAGTTACACTGTGTAGATCGGGTTTGTATTGAAGAGCATCTAAGAAGTCACTTATAAACAGTGCTGGTGTTTTCAGCAGCGTGGTTTATCCATATTATGCATTATATTTTTTGAGCAGATCACTCTGCCAGTGTCTCTTGCGGTCTGGGAAAAGTTTTGGGATGCGTATTTTCCTGAAATCATCTATGCATTTCTTTAGCTCTTCCTCCATCAGCGTCCTCTCCTCTTCTTCTGGGTCTTTGCTCAGCGGTCCACCATTCTCCCTGGTGATGGAGGTGGTGGTGCAAGCCATGGTGTTGCTGGTCATGGGTCGGGGCAGTGTTTTCAGAGGCAAAGTGGTGGGTCGTGCTGGACTGTCAGCGGGCAGTGGAGGGGGGCTTGGTTCCCGGGGCAGTGGCAGTTCAGGGCTGTCCAGGGGTGGAAGGGGTGGACGGAGAGGTGGAAGGGGGTCTGAAAGAGATTCGTTGTCCAGGTCAAGGGCAGTGTTTGTGTCATCCTGGCTACAGACGCTAGACATATTTGGGTTATATATGGTCGGTAGATATGTGGGGGCGTGTTAGAACGAGCCGTTTTAGGGGGGCGTGGCAGAGTCTTAACTTTGATAAAGAATATCTCTTTGGTTTTGAGACTTTAGTCTTTGCAACTTCAGGGATCTTATCTATGCACAATCAGCTTGTAACACTCCAAAGAGAAAGTTAAACTTGAAATCGCATCATATGACCCCTTTAAATGTGTAAACACTGTTACTCCAACAAACCTTTTTTTGTGAAATTACACCTTAGGCTTTAAGGTATTATTGCTTTATTTGCTATTACAGATATTTGCAGGAACTATTTGGTTTCATATATTTGTAGCCCATACTATTAAATTAAACAATAAATTACTTTTACCATTAATTCATTCATAATACAAGAATGTTTTCTGCTTACACAAAATATCATACTCAGTTTATGTTGTAAACAATTGTTTAAAAAATCTCGAACCATCAAATGCTTGAAAAATAAACCAGTGCATTTAAAAAACAAACCCAGCTTGAAAAACACAAAAATTTTAATTCAGACTGTTTTGATACTTGTTGAACAAACCGGTTTTAAGATTTGTTGATATAGTCTACATGTTACTAAACTGGTCTGGACTCGAACAAAAAGACAAACAAATGCTTTGACATTGTATTGTTGTCAAAAATCATTTTCATTTCTGTTTTTTCTGTTTGTGATGCTGACCAGCAAAACAAAGCTGGTTTGACTAACATTGTCTTTCCACTTGACTTTTTTGACTTTTTAGTGAAGCTAATGAAGCAGCCATTCATGAGTTTTCACTTGATTTAATGAAAATGATTTACTGGCTCTCACGTCATTCCAAAAAGCTGGAACATGGCAAGTAGGTTGCAAGCTCTAAAATAGTTTCTTCTTAACTTTTTTTTTACCTCACATAACTAATGGTAAAAATTATGTTTCTACTAAAAAATGACACTTAATCATGAAATAACATAACATTCAAAAACTGTTTTCAAAATTATTAAGGAGCAATCAAATAAATACTGACACAAAGAAGTATTTAGATGGCATGCATAACACAAAGTGAAACACACAGTTACACTGTGTAGATCGGGTTTGTGTTGAAGAGCATCTAAGAAGTCACTTATAAACAGTGCTGGTGTTTTCAGCAGCGTGGTTTATCCATATTATGCATTATATTTTTTGAGCAGATCACTCTGCCAGTGTCTCTTGCGGTCTGGGAAAAGTTTTGGGATGCGTATTTTCCTGAAATCATCCATTTCTTTAATTGAAGAGCATCTAAGAAGTCACTTATAAACAGTGCTGGTGTTTTCAGCAGCGTGGTTTATCCATATTATGCATTATATTTTTTGAGCAGATCACTCTGCCAGTGTCTCTTGCGGTCTGGGAAAAGTTTTGGGATGCGTATTTTCCTGAAATCATCTATGCATTTCTTTAGCTCTTCCTCCATCAGCGTCCTCTCCTCTTCTTCTGGGTCTTTGCTCAGCGGTCCACCATTCTCCCTGGTGATGGAGGTGGTGGTGCAAGCCATGGTGTTGCTGGTCATGGGTCGGGGCAGTGTTTTCAGAGGCAAAGTGGTGGGTCGTGCTGGACTGTCAGCGGGCAGTGGAGGGGGGCTTGGTTCCCGGGGCAGTGGCAGTTCAGGGCTGTCCAGGGGTGGAAGGGGTGGACGGAGAGGTGGAAGGGGGTCTGAAAGAGATTCGTTGTCCAGGTCAAGGGCAGTGTTTGTGTCATCCTGGCTACAGACGCTAGACATATTTGGGTTATATATGGTCTCCTCTGCTGCTCTGTCGATATCTGGATCACTGAAGCAGGATGACATGGATGCTTTGCCTCCTGTCATTAGAAAAAAACAAAACAAAATATATTAGCGACACCCCACTGTGTGCTGCAAAATATTCTATTGAGTTTATTATTTTCGTTCATAACAATTATATTAAACAGAATTCAACCAATTAAAAGAAGTTTAAAAAAAAATAAAAAATACTTAAACATTTTCATCATCCCAACATGATTGTGTATCATTAGCTTTAAAATATATTAAAATATTTGGAATTTTTCGAAGCATGCAATAGGAAAATAATGCAAATCTAGAGCATTTAGTGTACAGAAAGCAGGTTACAATTTATTTTGATAGTTCACTTTAGATATTCTGTTGACTGTAACTTTGTCAAGTAACTTTGCAACTATATGCCAACTAACTCTCATTAGCGTATTAGTAGACTCCCTAGGAGTGCACAACCCCCTTCGTCTGATTTCAGTTTGGACTCAATGGCACCACCTCTTGGTGATTTTTTCCCAAAACCCCCTGGTTTGGGTTAGGCTAGGTTTATGGGCTAGAAAGTACCAATCACTCCGGAGTGATCCTCAATTATGTGGTATATCTTGCTTTAGGAAGGTCTGATTGGAATGAAACTTGGTGTGTATTATATTTGTGAGATGTTCCTTTATTCCATCTGGGTTCTGCCACAGTTGCCCAACTGTGTGGTGATTTTTTTAGGTGGTTTTGTGTGGTTTTTGCTGGGTTTTGGTTTGGATTTGCTTGGTTTTTGGTCCTACAGTGCATTAGGTTTAGAGTTTGGGTGGTTGTTTTTGAGTTTTGTTAGGATTAGACAGTAGAGGTGTAACGACACATGTATTCGTCCCGAACCGTCACAGTACGGATGTCATGTTTCGGTTCATGCAGTCAGACGATGAATACAGTCAGTCATAGGTGATCGATCCAGAAGGGGGCGCGCACTAATGCAACGCTAACCGTCACCACAGGAAAGAGCAAAATAAAAGACAATCTACGCACCAACCCAAAACAAGAATGGCGAGTTCAGATGGCACGCAAGAGCTCGAAGAACCGCCTGCTTGTTTTAAATCAGCAGTGTGGGAAAGTTTGGGGTTCTAGAGATGCACTGGTCGACCGGCGGTAAATCAGAACCGGTTTTTAGTTTTATTTTGGTCGATCTCTATTCCAGAATTGCACACAAACTGCATTGCCATCATTTGCCAAAATGTAATTTCTGTGTAATTTTTATGAAGTCTTTAAATAGGAGAAAGTACTGTACCAGGCAGATCAAGCTCACTGTTCGCGATGCTCCTCAGGTGTCATTCATCACATTAACGATGAACACAAATTAGAGTCGTTGTCTTAATTATAATATTACACCCATTGTTTTTATCATTTAATTTCCTATCATTTATTCACTTGTTGTGAAGTGTGTTGTGCTACTTCCTTTAAAATGAATGATACTTGCTTTGATATTTTGTTATGTAATGCAGTGGCATTTTTTTCTTTCCCTAGACCAGTTAAGCGAACCGCCGACCCATTCAATTCAAATTCTTCACGGCTCATTTCAGTCACAGTAGCTGCGTTTCCATTGCTTGTCATCAAAAAACTTTTGCGATATTTTATAAATGTTGATTAAAAAACTATTGTGGATCCATAATGCGCCACAGACGTGTCCAGTGTAAATAAAGGGTTATCCAAGCATTAATGGCAAGGAAAGCCCCTTAAACTTAAGAGCGATCATGTATGAGGTGTTTCTTGGAGGTTATAGTACATTAAATAGTGATCTTGTGACTTTTACGTATGCTGCGTGACCTGTAAATGCGAAAAAACTGTTTCCATTGTAGTTTTACAAATTGTTCCTTTTTCAAATTACCTGAAAAACCACCTCATGTGAGCGTAAAAACTTTTTTGCAATATATTGGAGTTTTTTTGCAAAATTGACGTGTTTCTATTGGGCGTATTTTCAATTTGCGCAATTTGGAGGGTAATGATGATTGCTTTCACAAGTCTGAAATAAATAACCTCTAACCTAAACATCAGCCACAGTATAGCATTTGTGTTTTTGTTTTTTTTCATATTTTAAATTTATGCTAAATATATGTTGTAAACAGTGAAGCTCAATGAAATATATTTTTGAAATTAATAATATATTTAGTTTTATATTTCACATTTACCCTCATATAACAAAATATATTTCACGAGTTCACACTTAATCAGATTGAGCAAACAGTCTGCATATTTGGCGTGCTGTCCAAGGCGAGGGCTCCGAGCTCTGAATATAGCCCTAACCCAGAGAACTCCCTCATATCCCCAAGCTGGGATACGACTAGATAGGAGTGAGTGAGGAGCTGGGGTGGAGGAGGGATGCCAGAAAAACTGTCAGGGGACAGAGGTAAATTGGCTGTATATACAGTGGGTACGGAAAGTATTCAGACCCCCTTAAATTTTTCACTCTTTGTTATATTGCAGCCATTTGCTAAAATCATTTAAGTTAAT